ATACACTAATACCATAGTCAGTATACAAACGCATGTCGAACATAGAACGAACGCGAACGTATATGCTCTGTGTGGTACAAACGAAGTGTGTTGCGCGTGCGGCAACCGCTACGATTTAGCATCTGGGCAGCAATGCTGTACCAAATCTCAATTTCAGTAATTTAATTTTGAGATAAAATAAATATTAAAATTCAATATAAAAAAATTAAAAAACAAATCTTCAATAAAAGACAAATTTATTGCACTGAATAGTGGTGTATACATTATGTGACAAATATTTTAATCAAAATTCTCATCACTTCACTCCATTGTTCACTAAGGTCAATATTTAATTCGTGCAGAAAACGAAGGTCGAGTTGATTCCATGGTTGCGTTGTGATTCAATTTTAATGGTAATGTTTCTGTGTCCAATGTCACCTTTCATGATTCTAACATCAACTGGATGTGATTTGAAGTCCCAATGTTTGAAGCCGAAAATTGGATAAGCCGAATTTGGAGTCTGATGAAAAAATTCAATTTTATCGTTTAATTTCAATTCCGCAGTCTGAGTTTTTTTTTTCAAAATGTTACCTTTGGATAGGTGAAAGTGTATGTTTTGACTTGCATAAAAGATGATTCAATGACAATGTTTTCTGTACCCAATACGCGACCGTTCACGTTTCCCCAAGTTGTCAATTTGGGTGTTCCACGAGGTGTTCCTGCGAGGCAAACGCACAAAACGCACGACACAGCTACAAATAATGCGGCAAATTTCATTGTTACTTCACGTTCAACGGTTCAGTTACAACTGCTTTCTCATTGACCACAGAATACCTTTTATTGTGTCAAATGAGTCGTCTTAGTCATATCTTATCATAATCAGACAATTTATTTTCGCCGATATGATTCACCAAAACAGCAATCGTGCTTTATCAATACACGCGCAAAAAAGACCCTTTTGTTAAAAAAGTAGAACTGTTATCAGTTGTAATTATTTATGACCGACATAAAAAAGATGTCTTCGATGATTTCATTTTGTTTAAAGTGCCGCATTAATCAGGTGTTTCTTATATTTTCAACCAAAAACGCGATAAAGGTGGAGAACGTAAATAGAAAAAGACAATGCTATTGTGATTCATTGAGTTACTAACGATTGTGCACTTGAGAAACATTGAAATATTATTCGGATTATCTAGAGTAAGTGCTTAGCAATCACATGAGTCTATTTATTTCGAAATATGTCACCGAATTTTTTATACGAACTTTGCGGAAATAGCCAGAAAGTAAATAATTGCTTAAATTAATTTGATTTGAAAATCGTGTTGATCAAAGCGATTTTCTCTACGATTCAACGATTGTTATGAGATTCCCATTTAGACAACAAAAATTGATTAAGATATCATTTATTTCAGAGTCAC